AACGGTTTAAAAGGCCAAACAGCTTTAGATATTTCTTTGAACAGGGAAAATCCTACTCAGTGAAACGAGACATTGTATCAAACTCATGAATTAGCCTAAGCTAGCCGTACACCCCCTGGAGGCGGTGCCTGTTAGGGCTGGCTATTAGACCTGTCTGTGATGATGAACCTCGCAGAATTTTCACTGCTTGTTTCGGGTCTCGAACATGCAACTTACTGCTCCATCAGTTTTGTTGGGTCTGCCCTCCCCCCACCGCCGTTCACCTTGCCGATTTTGAACGTATGTGTCACAGGAAGCTGGAATCAAACCCGCAAGTCACTTCTCACCAAATCCTGTGACTCTAAACTGTAACCACTGGGCCACCCTGTCCCTTATAAACGCCAAGATTGATTCATACGATATATTTTATCTTACATCTAAGGACGATTTCTAGCGAATAAAAACGTTAAGCGCAGTTAAGAGTCGCATTTTCGTCACACGTCACATTTTCATGTTTGCAGTTTTTCCTTTAAAGTATTTTTAAAACTATAACTGAAGCTTATAACAATAAATATTTACTTTAATTGTTCAAATCATTAATGGTTGCTCCTAAGCCACCAACCGACTGTCCTGCAGGCCTCCGGCAGGAGTCCAGGGGCAGCAGGCTCATGTCGACTGTGTCGTGGGCAGTGAGGCGGGACATAAGCTCAGGCCTTAGGGTATGTACGTACACAGTGAAAGCAGGTTGCCAGCGTGCTGGTTACCTGCTGAGGCTGGCGCCTGAAACAAGCGCGAGAGGTTGTTCACAGTGGAAGCAGGAAACATGCTTGTGCATTCCCTATAACGATTGATAAAATCTCTCAATAATACGAATCATACAGTCAAAACTCATTATAAATGGATAAATCGCATGATAAATTCATCATATAACCCGTCAAACTCTCTGAACCGCTGAAAAGCTGTTAAAACAATTTTAAGAAGAAATTTGATCATGAGAAAAGCTGTGAATTTATCGAAGTCTTTACTGTCTGTTGAACCTGCACCATAAACATGTCATCACCTGCACCATAAACATGTCCACATCACCTGCACCATAAACATGTCTGAAAATGGAGGGTTTAAAGGTACAACTAATTCAAAAATGACCATATGCCAAGCAGGTTGAGCAGATAAGAATGTGCACTACATTCCGGTAAATAGGTATAAGCAGGTTGTCGGCAGAAGCCTATTCGTACAGGTTTCCACTGTGAACACTTACATTGAAAACCTGTACGAATAAGCTTCTGCCGACAACCTGCTTATACCTATTTACCGGAATGTACTGCACATTCTTATCTGCTCAACCTGCTTGGCATATGGTCATTTTTGAATTAGTTGTACCTTTAAGCCCTGCATTTTCTTTGTTTCTTTGCTGATTATCAATTGACTGAATAAATAGTTTTGAAAAATTTAAATTTCTTAAATATTAAATACAAATTTAAAAATTATTATTTTTTATTTTTTTTAATAAAATTAAAAATTCATTGTACATGTGTAACATCAGAGAAACTGGATTTTTTAGAAGTGTTGTCTTTATAAAGTAATTTTCAAACGTATATTATTCATAAACAAGTTGGAGTCTATGATTAGGTCGCAGCTGGTTTCCTGCTTCCTCTGTGAACCTCTCGCGCTTGTTTCAGGCGCCAGCCTCAGCAGGTAACCAGCACGCTGGCAACCTGCTTTCACTGTGTACCTACCCTTATACGGGGCGAGTGTGGGTGGACACAAGAAGGTGGCTGTCCACGGCTTGAAGAGGGATGCGACAGCTCGCTCTCCTTCATCATTGTTATGTGACTGTCCACGGCTTACCATGCACGCAGCGTGAGCCGGCCGGATGAGACTGCAAATCAGAATGTACATCTTGTCCTAAAGTATTCTATGGGTCCTAAATAGTAATTATTGGACCGTAATTTATATTGATAAAAGTATTTGAACGAAATATCTTCAACTTTCTTAATTTCTCAGTCCGAATCGTCTTTTTCAACATGTTCTCAACCGGACAAAAATTTACCAGAATAATATTTTTCTATAGCAATTTAAATAACAGCTCGGAAAAACTTACGAGGGCTGCCTTCAATTTATAGATGTACCTCAATGTTGAGGTACATCAAAACATTGAACAGTAAGAAAAAGTGCGTATATGCCAGAGGAGAAGAACAAAGATGGTAGTCAACCTCAATTCGTAACATATTCTAAGTAAAATCGTCTACACGTTATTTTCGTATCGTCTTCAGCTACATTCATTGCATCACATACTTGACGTCGAGAGTAACACTGAAGCGTTTATATTGCTCATGAATCGAGTATGACGGCTACAGCCTCTACGCGCATCTGAAATAAAATTAGATCACTTCCAAGTTGATAAATGCAAGTAGAAGTCATTTTCGACCGAACTACCTTTCGAATACCAGAGCAAAATGTAAAGAATAATTTTTCTGAAATTTCTGCTTTCGTTTTTGCTCTGTGAAACCAAAAGAAATCGTTTATTTTATTCGAAAATTTAATTAAAATTGATTTGCTCTGAGTTGATGGGATATGCTAGTTATTAGTATCAAACCAGAGTATTGAGGACTCAGTGTCGATCAATTTGATCAAAGTCAATCCTGTGTTCCGAACTGAACAGTTCAGCATGATCACTTCACCAAGACCATCATATAGGTACGATATCAGTAGCCATTCTCAACCGATTATTCGAATATTAATTATCAAATAACGAATTCGATATAGAAACATAAATTTTTTAAAATTAGTTTTAACTCACCAGAGGATCGAATGCCCATGAAAATTTAGGGCAATAAGGGTTTTTGTTCATCCATCTAAGTTACGTTTAATAACAGATAATGCCTACTGGTGACTTACAGACTTAACTGGCAACGACTGGCCTTGTTCGTCCATTAAAGTTACGTTTGATAAATAAGCTCGATGCATGGCAGCGCCGCCCCTCTGCCACTCCTCGTCGCTGATAGTTGAATGTTGAAACTAATATTTAAATCCGTAACATTATTGACCACATCAGATTTGCTTAGAATGTAATTGATTGCAATAAAAGTAAGCAAAACACACGCAAAGTGTGGTCTGTATTTGTTCTTTAAATGCATTCTAATAACAAAACTTATCCGCATGTTCATATCGTAGAAGCAGGTAAGCTTGCCTTTGTTTCGAAAATGTACTTACCTAAATGGTATTTAAATAATAATGCTGTAATACACACATCATGCGTAATTGTCGATAATCCCTGCTCGTCGGAGGTGGCCTGGTGGGTAAGAGCGCCAAAATTAGAGCAAATATTTGCTGATTCTTGTCCCAGCTGCTGTGATAATTGCGATGATCTTTGGCGATAGGCTGTAGTTGGCCTAATTTCCAACTTTAACATTACAGTCCTGTTTCATGAGTCTACTAAATACGCCCATGATCTCACGGAAGGTTCGCGCGTGTCCAACTAGCGCATCTGTTGTCTGGCAGCAGGTGTTACAGGTCTGCCGTTTTAGTAAAGTGAACAATCCAGCCATATTTATTTCGTCATCAAATAGGTACTGATATACTGCCGGTTGTATGTATACCAAGACTAATTTACGCTATTGATTATTCATGGTGAATGCGCAAATGAATAATCATTAGCGTACATATTCTAGCACATTGACAGCGTCTGCCGGAAAATTTATCTTCCTCAGTTCTAACGAGTCACATTTTCTGCTAACTGAATCCAGCCTTGCTTTGACATCAGATATTTTTATATGTGGCGATTCGAATTTTAAATGTCTAAATATTTCCTCAAACTCATGTCGGTTGTAAGCATCAATTCTGCTGATCGGGGCCTCCGATGCCTGGAGATTCTGCTCTGAATGTTGACACTTTTTGGGCCAGCAGTGAAGTCTTCAAACCTCGACATCGGTCTTTAGGTTGAGGATTTCATATATATGACACCGTCATATTCTTGAAACAGGTCATCTGAAAAACTGAATTTCATGTGTGGAGTGCGTGTACCTGGTGTAGGTTCAATAAAGTATTGGAACGTGATGATATCTCATATCAACAATCCGCAACCCTCCTCTTCCGCAGCACTTCTTCATCAGGCACAAGAGTCAGCGTAAAGAATAAGGCAGTCAAGGAGCGGGTCAGCGTTCCATGATTTTCTTAACCATGATACTCGGGCCAGCGGTGCCTCTACTGGATAGCTGCAACACACGTTCTGCGATCCCTCTTTAGTTTTTGCTAGAAAATCCTTCGAAAAAAATGAAAATCCTTCGAAAATCAGTCGGTTCATCTGCGGTGAAGTGATGACAGTTGTGCCTATTGACGAAGGAAATCTAGACATATTTACCCGAGGCATTGTTAGCTCCTGAATGCGGATTCGGTGCAGTCATGCCAAAAATTATAAAAATCTCGGCAGTTTACTGAGATGTCGCTATGATCTAAAAAGGCACTATGTCTTACTTGCACAACTAATGGAGTCGGATAAATAATTGAAGCTCCAAAAAGGTGCCCGAATGGCGAGGCTGTAGCAGTTTCATTAAGTTTTAAAATAATATTACCTCCATTCCTCCACTATCTACTGTAATCACACACCGTAATGCGCACAGATACGTCAATCGCTCAGCCGATACGAATTTAGCATTCCAAGTACTGAACAACCCCTTTTCAGCCATAAGCGCTGCTCTTAAGGCCAGAAATTAAGTTATCAGATTCTTCCGAATAATCAGATTATCTGAATCTGATTCATCAGATTCGGCCTCGTTCTAACCTTCATTTTGTTCACATTTGTTAACCTGACGCATGTTTGCTACCAGCGCTTCCAGTTTCACCTGAATAATTGGAACTACAATGTGCAATATGAAACGTATTGTCAAAAAGCACGTCATAAGTGACTGCAGCGGAATGGCGAGAGCAGTTTAGTTAACGAACTACCTCGTAGCAGGGTCAAAAAAGTATCCCATCTTCTTGGTCGATTTCTAGCTTATCCAAAGGTGATGAAGAAGCTGAAGTTTAGTTCGGTAAAGCACAATTTAATAGAAAAACTTATCGAATCCCACGTGAATGCGACATCATCGCATGTAATGACTGGAATTAAAAGAGAAACTTGCCAATTCATTTCTAACAAATTTTAGACAAAGTTGACATTACGTCAACAGAATATCTCAATAGAACACAAAAATCATCAAAAACTGGATTCACAACTTCCATACCAGTGTGACTAATCCAGTAACAAATTACATGTGGCACACGATTGCTGGTATACTGCCTCATACATTCAGTCGCACTGGATTTATATAGGTTTTGCACGATTCAAATTAATATGAATCTCCTGTTGAAGATAATATTCTTCTTTCACCTGCATGATACCCAGATGGGAAGATTCAATTGTTTTTTTCAGAACATTTGTCTCGTAATAGAAATTTATTTTACCAGAAGCGTTTAATCAAAACAGGGATGTGCTGATGTCAGATTATCAAATGATTTCTGTTAGGTTTTGAAACTAGAGAAGATGCAATTGGAATTTCTTATCGTTCATTTTCCCGAAGTTTGTTTGAGCCTGATATCGAATATTTAAAATGATCGAGCTAGCAAGCGGCACAAAACTTCTTGGTCTTTGAATAATAACCTGTTCATTATTAAAGATGCTAGTTCAGCAGTGGTTATACCATTAAAACCAATGTTTTGCGTATGCTTGGAACATAAGCAAGCAAACATAATGCTTGCTTTAACCGAGTCTGGCTCTTACTTACTCGCCGCATTATTCACCCACTGAAGGATTAAATCTGTGGTTAATTCAGTGAATTTTGATCGTGAAAGGCACCACTGTGGCACCGCATCTTCAGCCGACGTCGATGCTTGTGAAGAAGCAGAGGTGGGAAGTTTAGGGCGCGGGTCGCAGTAAATGTATTTTGCGTTGGGAAACATCTCAACCAGCCGGCGACTGCCCAACCCAGTGAGATGGTCGCTCGGGATGACCAAACTCAAGCTAGGGCGAAATCAATAAAAACCTTAGGAAATAAATTCGGTTCAAATCTTCTAGATTCGGAATTTTCAACTCGATATTATGCACCAGCAAAATTATCTATGTTAGGAACGCGTTTAAAGTGAATAACTTCAAATTTAGAATTCTCGCGAACTTTTAATTCGCGTTCGAGAATTGAGTGGATGCATATATATAGTCTCGGTATGTAGAAAGACGGGCCTTATTACACAGACACTTATTAATTTACTATAGTGGTGAAATTCAGTGTGTGGAATGCCGTAAAATTACGAACTTAATAAATTCATAATGCATGTATAAAAATGCAAATATATGAGACAAATGTATGGAATAGAAGTGACTACAACGCTTAGTACCTACTATATCCGTAACATTATTGACCTGTACGGCTCCCCATAACATTATTGACAAAAATTATTATACTAAAAGTAGTCGCCAACCGGGAAAGGTTTTTGACCGTGATGCAGTATTAGACATCAATTCAAGTGATTCCAACCTCTATCTGCAGTAACCAGGAATGAAAAAACGCTCTGCATTAGAGGCGAACGCTTGTTGGAGGTAATGAGTTCGGTGGGACTTGGGTAAAGTTTAATCTCGAAGAGCGAAATAATTTCCACAAGTTTAAATAATTTTTTTCCATGCAAAAAATCTTGCTCCATTCTTGAAAATTGAAAAAAAAACAAAGTAGTATGACGCAGTTTTTTTTTAATAAAGCTTCTTCTGTAAGTCGTAATGAGCGTTTTTTCTTCGATGTCTAATTGGCTTCGCTGTCATATTTTCTACACTTTACTTAGCGATTACACTCATTGTGAATGAATAACTAATAATATTTTTCGTAAATGCTTACTTCAGGGTTTGATTACAAGAAAATGTATGAAACAACCGACCGTCTGAGAGGGTGAAAAAGAATGTTCTGAAATAAAAAAAAACGTTACCTTTAGGCTGCTGTCATGTTATTTCGCATAAACTTGCGATAAAGCTCAGGAGAGAGTTTGGTGGTTGCCTCACGCAGCTTTTATGGACGGACTTGAATACAAAAACTTAAGATAATATAGCTCCCTCATTCGCACCTGCAATCTTTGAAGGGTTCAAGGATTTTGCACACCCAATCCAAGTCACCGTCTTCTAGGTGAGGGAAGTGCCAGCGGCTTATTTTCCAGCCGAGATCCTTAAGTGTAGTGCCAAGGCTGTAAGGCACTCCTTTAAGTCTAGTGTTGTACGGCACTCCTCGGACGCAGCAAACGTCTTCTGTAACATAAATCGTAAATCAGTCACACAAAATATGCATTCATTCTAAATTGATACATTGAACCATCTAAGGAAGAGGGATTCATTATTAATAAGCAAGAGTATCACGTTAATATAGTAAACGAACAAATTTTTTTTGCTTCTATGTGTATGCCTGCGAAATAAAATTCCATTATAATCATTCACCGCATTTTTTTAATTATGCTAAATACGTTTCGGAATTTGCACCCTTTTCATGCACGTAAACTATTTATCTGAAAACAAAGCTAATTACTTGCGATAATATTCCCCATAACTGACAATTGTTGTTTCCAAAAAAATGGACAATACAATTAAATTTTAGTGACCCAATTTTCACATATCCTCATGTAAACTTTGCTTACGGAGGGGGGAAGAAAAATAACCTCGGTTTATAATTTGAGTGAGGTCATTGGATAGCGCATCACCATCACCTTCTCATGTGTGAGATTTTCACCCAATCGTTAGGGTGTTAAATAAGGAAATAATCAAAGGCGCTTCTATATAATTTATTCAACAAAGCTTTGCGTTTGAACCCGTGATTTCTACTAAATACTTATTCTTCGTATAAAATTAGAGAAGCGGATTTAACTACTGAGATAATTCAGTTAATAGATCGTATAAAAAAACCCCTAGCCTACTACAAATCGTCGGTGAGAAATGAAGAATTTCTCACACGTGCAACATCAAGGCCGTGTCAATGATCAAACTTCGATGAATTAAAGTCATCAATCTATGAAATATCAGTGGAGCAGAAGTTGCTCAAAATGGTCGTTCGACATTCAATGGACATTTCTTAAAATCATCCGTGAATTTAAACGCGAATGAGTCGGTGTATTTAAGGTAATGAAATTATCATTATAGAATCATTTTTATAACTTTGTTTCCTAGGAAAAAAGGTGACGAAATAAATATGCGTTATTAGCTGATATTTGTCACCGACTTTCCTGCCTGAAAAGAAAATGCTGTCTTATTTATTAAACAAAGCGACATCTCAAACTGACGTAATGAAGTATTTCAAAAAGTACACCCTGCCATTTAAGAAACGTAGAAAAAACTCTACACATACTAACCACATGCAGGCAGTTTATTTCCTATACAGTAGTCAAGGGCATGCGAATTTTCGAAGCGAAGGCCGAACATGCGAGGCTTGCGTCGTCGCTGCCTCATGTAGTTCAGGACCTCGTATGGGGAGCCGTACAGGGCGCTGAGCCAGCATCTGGCACCACGGGAGCAGTGAAGTGAACAAATAATAAATTACCAGTATTTATTTAGTAATTATGTAATAATAAAGAAGCAATTGACAACGTATTAAATAAATAACGGCGTTAAAGTCGCTGAACATAGTTACTTCTTACAGAATCTTAGGAACAGCCTACCACCAAACATGAAGCAATTCCTACTCGATTTGGGGCTTGTTAACAGGTTCCTCAATTTAGTTCTTAGAAACATCCGAAAAGTTAAAATTTACTATTTTAAAAAAATTCTAAACGAACCGTAGGGTTCGTTAAAAATGAAAAAATACACCACTAGGAGAATTGGCTCTGTGCGTCTGTTTCTGGTCAGAATTGGCAAGAAGGCCGGGCGGTTAAACGCAGCAGAATTGTAGCAGTGAGTTGCGAGTTCGAGACCGCAACATGCTGTGAATGTTCTGCAATGTTAAGAATCGGCGACAGGCCTACGGCCTAATAAACGCTGAAACCGTTATTATTATTATTATATATAATTCATAAGCCTGAAGTTAAAGGTGCAACAAATTAGTACCAATAAAAATTCCTCTTGATTTTGATTTATAACTTTGCATTAATGTGCTAATTTGGCTATCCAACATTAACATTAGCAAGCCAAGAATAATACTACCCACCCAAACTTTTTGATGAATCTTCCTGAAGTTGGATCTGCATGGTTTTGGGGCCTCCAGAAGTAGCTCAGGTCAACCACGCTCAGGTCGCCGGTGTCGTTGGCAACAATCCGTTCCAGAAGCTCACCGAGCCGCGGGATGGGGTCCGTGTGGAGGGACATCACTACGAGGCGGCTGGGCTTCCTATTGTTCAACAGACTACGTACAGCTCGCTCGCCTTCATCACTGTTTGTTACTGTCCAAGGTTGTCCATCCGGCAAGAGGTTATGCGGATTTGATGGCATCTGTAGGTAAGTTAGTGGCTTTAGCTTATTTCTAGAGCATAACATCGAAATTGTTAGGCATTTTAATTTTGATGCATTCATTTAATATTGCGCTGGAATGTTTATAAACCACTTGCAGTTAATTTTATCAATATCAAACGCAAGAAAATTTCAAGCGCGTCTGGAAAGCCTACTTTACCCCTTGAATACAAAACCAATTCGCTAAACTCCGGAGAAGTTTTCACGCAACTAGTGCTATTTCTACTTCATGGAGGTGCACCGAATACTCGGTTCATTCCTCTCACCTTTAACGAACGGGACTTATTGACAACTGCTCCCAGCTTCGCTGTGATTTCTGGCAACTTTGAGTGTACTGCAGGCTTTAATTTAAGGCGACGTAGAATTTCCATGAACTCAAGTCTCTTTTTCTCGTCGGCATTGGAGACCGAATCCTTCCAGACCTGAAAATTTTTGTCGGCAGAAATTATCTGAACCTGCAGCGCTTCTTTCCATTCATCCAAATCATTCTTCACGTTGATTACGTCATCAATCCAACTCGAAAAGTCGTTGAATATCATGGCTAAATTCTTCAATCCGGAAATCTTATCCTGCATCTTGGTCTGTATTTTCCCCATTGAGTTCACAACACCTTCATCTCCATTGAACAGGTCGTCTATCGCCTCAATCTCGTGTGTGGCGTGGGTGCTCCTGATGCACTTGAAGCACGCTAATTCGATGCAGTCCACGCACAGGTAATCCAGCGCCTTGTGGTGCTGAAGACATGGCGTTTCTGACGGTAAAAGTGGTAAGCGTTGATACGGTTTGTTTTCAGATGGGATTAATGCGTAATTAACCAATATTTTGTCGATATCTTGGGCAGTTTCTTTCTTGCATTTAGGACAGATACAAATATCGGATAAAGTTGTTAGCTCCATAATGCAGGTGAGGCAAAATGTGTGGCCGCAGTTCAGACAAAGTGGCTTGTGGTTGCCAGAGTCAAATTCTTCGGTGCAAATGTCGCACTCTAACGTTGCGGTTGCCATGTTGAGGTGCTGATATTTATTCTTGTTATTCTTTCTAATTAGTCCAACTTACAATTTCGAATGCTGCGAACATAACAATAAAAAGAAATTATGATAAAATCATCTGTTGAGAAGGTGTGCGTTTTGGCATAATACATCGTGTAAGCTGTATGCATTTAAGTCCCGTTTAGTTATCAAATGGCAGGCAAAAACTAACTGACGATTCCATTCCAGAGATAGGCACATTAGATAGATTCCAACCATTCAGCGGCATTATCGGTTTTCCAACCATCTAGCTGTATTACCTACATTTCAGTCGATCGTTTGACAAATAATGAAACTTTCAAGCACTAATACCAATAGCAGCTAGATCAGGCTATCTAATGAGTTTCAGTCCCAATTCCAGCAGAACATGCATTCATGTTTTAACTATTGCTATTGCTAAAAGTTCTAGATGCCAAAAGAGAAATTACACGCTATTCTAGATTTAGAGTTCGAGGGATCGACAAGTGGTGGTGGCAAGAGAAAAACCGCCAAATCCGCTAACAAAAATTACCAAAACAGGCAAAAATTTCAATATTCAGTTGTGAGTTTGTAAATTGCAATGTAAGAATTTAATTTTTCTGTTTATTTAGTATATAATAAAAATATTACAAATTTAAGTTCAACATAAAATTTTGCCGTCTAATGCAATTGAAAAAGACCCAAGAGGCCCAATGAAGAACTGATTTTTAGTACCTAACTTAACAAGGTTTCGTAGGCTGTTAAATTTGACATATATTGTATATTTTAGACATATTTTATGTTCAGTTTATAATTCTAGGTACGCTTGGCCATTCGGTACGATAACTCTTAATTTATTATTCCCAATATTTTCGTTTGCAATAATCAAAATCTTAGGAATCTTGGGCAATCAATCTTAGGAACATCTATTTCTGAAAAACCGTCAGTTAAAACCTGTCCAATAGTGATGCTTGAAGTCGGCCGATTGAGAATTATTTTTAAGTTTCTCCGGGGCAGTTGCTATGGCCTATGGACATGATTAATGAGTAATGACGATATTGATATAAATGTAAAAAAATTTGGCCATTTTCTAAAATATTTTCTCGACTTTCCACAGATTTGATATGTTCAATGATTTTGTCAAATTGGTTCATGTTCGCAATAGTTACACGGTTACAGAATAAGTTGATGGAAATACCTAGCTAAGCAGTAGTCACTATTATGATTGGATATTGTGCTTTAGATCAGAAATAAATACGAATAGAAATAAGTTCTGCCGTCAAACGTTACCTAGCAAGATTTTGTTAGCAGAGATCATTTGCATCATAGCAAATGTCGGTAACGAATTTGTTGTTGTTATGGACTTCTGGTGAAACATTTATTCTGGTGAAATTATTTGTATATTAATCATAAGTTTAATCGTAGAGTATTAGCTCCACCAGAACCAGATCGTCTTGCTTGCAGTTTATTAACGAGTTTCATCTGTTAACGGATTCAGATAGCAATTCACTGAGTAGGCTCAGCTTAGAGAACTAACCTCGATGACAGTCAAGTCGTCACAGCACTTATGCCGCACTCTCAGACATTCTATAGATTTGATTCATTTCCTAAAGAACGATTCGCAAGTTTTTCAATAATTCACACACTAAATATGTGCATGTGTTTCTATTGAAGTCACTAGCATATAGCACGAGTCAAATTTCAAACGGCCCAGTCTTCAATTGTGCGCAGCATTCTCCACCGCTACCGAGTTTAGACTGACGACGCGCGGCGGGTGCACCGGTTCAGCTGTGCTGCGGAAAATGCAGAAGAATTTCTGCTTGTGGGCAAGAATAATTTCTGTAATCGTCGAACTACAACTTCTTATAGAAAATACTAATATCGTTGAGCAAAAAATACACAGTAATTGTGTTTTATAGTTATACATATACTTAAACATACAAGACATATCTACGGATTTTTTTTTACATGGCTGCGTTTTATCTGGTAATCAGAAAGTTCTTTGATTTTGCAGAAATTTCTGCCCATCTGGCAACACCGCTGCAGCGCAGCCTTCACTATAGCAGGCAACGCCAGACGTTCAAAGACGTCGACGGAACTCGTAACGAACTCGTTTCGTCGACGAATACGATCGCATGAGGCCTTTAGAGAACCTTTACAATTATCAAGTTTTAAGCATAATGATAACGTTAGCAGTCATTTTAAAGTTATGCATATGCTGTTAAATCCAGCAATGTTGATGTGAACCCGATTTCATTTTGAATCCCGAATTGTAGCATCAGCTCAGCAGTTTTGCGTTCACGGTCTCGTGCACGGCTGTGGGTACCGTTGGCTATAAGTCTGTGCCAAAAATGACCACGTTTTCTCACTTAATATTTTAAATTCTAACGAAATGATAATCAGATTTTTAACTCTCATTAAAACAGCTGAGTTTTCGTTCTGCTTGCCAAATTACCACCGCCAGCTATTTCCTTATTGCACGGTTAAACAGACTCAGGCCTCCACTGGAAACCCAATCCTGAATATACTAGAAAATTTTAAAACTAATCGACCATATTGCTTTTTGCTGGTTAATTTCATATGTAATTTTGTCATTAAACAGTACTGATGCTGCTTATGACCGTGGGTGCAAGACTTTAATTCTTTGTCATACTAAAGAAACCCCAGCAGATGGCCGTGTGCGAAGGTTCCAACTGCAATACTTATTTGTCATACCAATGAAACCGCATTTTGTTTTCTTTTAGTTGGACATTCTTGGCGCCACCGTCCGGGACATTTCAAGAAATCAGGCACGCCTATTTTATAAATAACTTTTAGATGGAAAAGAAATAAGATATTTCTTTCAATCATGTTGTTCACATCAAAAATATATCCCTGCGTAGAATTCATACGGGTACCTTATTTTGCTTCTATTATTGAATAAATTGCTGCATTTAAAATTATTACTAAATAATTTCTGAAAATTAAAGAACTTATACATAACCTATGTATAACGGCATAACAAGACTCCCTCAGTCTGCACCTGCCCTCCCATTAATTTATTCACTTATTTTATAATAATTCAAGAAAGCTTTGCCGCAACCAAGAGAACTCGATGACGTCAAGCAGCTGAGCTTCGTCGGCAGGATGCAGCTGATCGGACAGCGCAACAGTCGCACAAATGCCAGAGCTGCTGCTCGTGTTTTATAATCTAGCCCGTGTTTTCAGTTGCTCGTGATTTTAAAAACGTTCGAATGTCAAAAATAATTCCACAATTTGCACTCATTTGAAGATTTCCACTCATTTGAATATTTCCCTTCATTTGAATATTTCCACTCATTTGAATATTTCCCTTCATTTGAATATTTCCACTCATTTGAATATTTCCACTCATTTGAATATTTCCACTCATTTTAATATTTCCACTCATTTNTCCACTCATTTGAATATTCCCACTCATTTGAATATTTCCCCTCATTTGAATATTTCCACTCATTTGAATATTTCCACTCATTCGACTATTTCCACTCCTCCTATTGTTGACGTTGAAGGTTTTCTAGACACATGCTGCAATGTTAAAGTGTTGAAAGTTAGCGCGGCTAAATACGTTGGAAAGTTAACAACTAAAACGCGCTAATGTTAATCGACTAACGTAAAGGCAGTGTCCAAATTTCGTCGATGAGACTGCATTAAATGGTGATACTTAAATAAAGTGACTAAAGGAATAAATGTCAATTTATCTGCGCTCGTTGTTGATTAAATGCAGTTCTCGTGAACAACCTGGACCGGTGCACATCTGTTGGTTGATCCACACTCCACACAAACTGTTGGGATTGACCGCTGGTCAAACTAAAAAATAAGGCACTCATACATTGCCTGTAGGAAGTGTGTGCTTGCACACAGACAGCATCGTACTTCCTGCTTAGTAGAGCACTTAGACGGCATCGCACTTCCTGCTTCGTAGAGTAGGATGCGGTAGAAAGTGCAATAAATGTGATATAACAATAATTAACCAAATGAATTTCCTCTTGAATTTCAATTTCCTTTGTATTTTTTTCTTCTTCATCTCACCCTTAGCACGAACTTTTAAACCTCGCCTCTCCTTTAATGTCGCTTCCACCTGGCTTGGTCTCCCTTTCTCCTTCCTAAGTTCCTACTAACAAAAGAATATGTGATGCGTGGCTGATGGCCGTTGTAAGGCCTGACTCCGGAATGTTCTTTTTCAGAGTCACCACGTCCCAAATCCAAATCCAAGCACCTGTTTCATATAAATTTCATTTTAGTTAGCAGTATAAAGGAGAAGTTTTCTCTTTTCGATCATAGAAAATATGAAAATTTATTCTAGGGTAAACTCTTTTTTTCGTGTTCCTATGTTGGTTCGTGGGACTGCTCTGGTGTTCGGAGTAAACCAAAGGATTATTCTGAAATGAAAGAAATTAATATAAGTCTTATGGAATAGCGGGAGAAAAGGATGAAAGTTAACACAAGAAACAATTGTGATGATGGAAATGAATGAATGGCAGAGCATAAACGGAATGAAAGGCGATGGATAAGGAGATGTTTGGTGTTGCAAGACGACTAAGTTTGCCCCTCACTCCCTTACCTCCCCACCACCACTCACCCCACCAACACTCACCCCCACCCTCACTCACCCCACCACCACTCACCCCACCACCACTCGCCCCACCACCACTCACCCCACCACCACTCACCCCACCACCACTCACCCCACCACCACTCACCCCACCACCACTCATCAGGCAGCAAATGCAGCGCCTCATTAACTTCACCAAATTCCACTTTTTCAATGAAATGTCGACCGAGAAATTGTGGACGCTGCTGCCGCGGTGACGCGGTGCGCCGCTGTTGTGATGGCGAGCAAAGCCTGGCTTAAATACAAGACCATTTCAGGCCCAGCTTGCCTTACCAAATATTAGTATATCTTATCGCGGTTGATTCCTCGAATATTTTATCATATATTAATTTCTTTCATTATCGAACCCTCATGGTCAATATAGGAAAAACAATGTCTCCCCTAAGAAAAAATTTTTATGAGCATCCTAGAAAACTTTCCTTCCTGCATTTACATCACCTTCTGAAATAAAATGAATAATTCATGTGATTGCCCACCGTTGTCCGTTGAGAAATGGTCTTCGTTGGAAATAGGACACATGGAGAAGACACCAATGCCTCATTAAATTTCATTAAACTTCCAAATTACGAGTTTCTTAGAATCCTAGTTCGGACCTGTATTGAAAATACATTTATTATTGAAGAGTGGAATGTTATAAGCAGAATCATCACCATGAATGTAGTGTATATTTTGATGATAATAACTGTTTTTTTTTTGTGTTGCAAAACGACTGAATGAGGTGTTTTGGTTGAAAAATTGGGTTTCCTAAAAAATTGCAATTTTCTTTTATCCATTGTCAATCAATTTGCGACTTATTTTGTCTCAGAAAATGGATTTACTTATCCTAAGAAGCTGCCAAGCCAGCCAAGGTAGACCAAAATTCTAATCTTAAGAGGCCCGTTCAGCCGGCTCAGCCGCGTTAGTCGCCAATGTAATTTTATAACTATTACTAGGTCCAATAACTCCCCTCATAAATAAGATACAAGTCTGAAATTTGGAATGCTATCCTGGCTAATTATTTTT